TGGAAATACGGAAATTCTGAACATGAAAATGGGCTAAAATTGTGAGAAAATCTTATATATTTAAGAATTTAATTCGGATAAAAATCTACTTATTTTTCAGAGTGCACTAACCGCTTCTAGAGGATGCGGATGAGCCCCTCGACCGCAGTCCGACTAGGCAGGCGGCCCTTTTGCCGCACAAATAGATTAGTTTCACATGGCCGTGGAGCTGGGGTTTCAGGGCGCCATAATGCACACAGAGGGCCGCCAGGCGCTGGCCGCCGCAGAAGTTATGAAAAATTAATAATAATGTCGAATCGATTGATTTCAGAGTGGGCCGGGGCCAGCACCGCCAGCACCACCAGAACCACCAGGGCAAGAGGCTAGCACCACCTAGACGGCTGGTCGTCGTCACCACCATCGTCGTCTTGGTCGATCGTCATCGTTGAAAGCCAGGCTCAGAGGATTTGAGGATTGTCTTGGCCAAGTCCCAACATCCAGGCGACCCCGGGGCGTCTGCTAGGGTATCTCGTTCTCGCTCTCCTTGGGTGTGTGTGGAACTGTAACTAAATAAGAGGAATGGTATGGCAAAAGATGAAGTTAAATACTGGATACTCTATACTTCCAAGACTAGCAATTTAAGGTTTATATTTAGGGAATTATCTTTTAATCAAAATCAAATCTAGTGGCACAAAATCCAGGATAATCTTAAACAGTTCCATGACTGAAAAATTAAGCTGCAAAGTTATAAACAAACTTCAAGGGGACTTTCAATTCAAATTAATACAATACTTCATAATATTTTTGTAGCCTTACATTTAGATATAGAACAACATTTGTATAAGGCTATTAACATATATGTTTAAAAATTTATTATTAATTTTAAAATGTTTTTAAATACTTTAATTAATTTAAAATTGTTTTTATAGATAGGTTGTTTCACAGAAACTTAAAGAATCTGATTTCCAAAATAAAATAGCATTAAAGGTGTTAAGGCAAAGGGGCTTATTTTTGTTTAATATAATATAATATTACTTGTTTGAGTTACATTATACATTAATTTATTTATTAGGCTCTAAGACTACATAGAATTATTTAGAATAGAAACTGAAAATAAAAGTATAAAACAAAATCGATTTGAAGACAATAGTATCTGGTGTTGGCCAATTTTTCCCATAAAGCCAGGAATCACCCCCAAAAGCCAAATATACCCTAACCCATCCGCATCGCCATAAAAAGTGAAATATTTTCTGTTCGCTCACTTAGCGCCTCGAGCCAAAGTCGTACATTTTCATCACCCGGCCGGGAACAGGATCAGTCTCTCAGTCGTCGTCTCCTAGGCAAAGCCACAAAAAGGCCAAGTTTAGCCAAGTTCTGGCCAAGTTGTCGTCGCCGCCGTCGTCGTCTGGCTGCAAACGTTTTATGGTCTGCGCCCTGGTCAAGTGATGCATTTTTCATGACCAGTTTGTACGATTTCCTTTCCGCAAACGCATCGAGCATTTTCATGTAATTCAATTCGGAGTTTTCCCGCTTCGCGCTCCTTTTTCTTTTATTTTCTTGTGGGCGCATCGGCCCAATGTGTTTACAATTCTATTGGCGCTGGCCTGGGATATTGGTTTCGAAATCCAAATCGGCTGTGGGGGTTTTCAGAGGACCCAAGACACCGCTGCGTTAACATGAGTTGAGTCTAATGAAATACGACATTTGACTCGTGCTGGGGTCTCGCTTACGTTTTATAGGCGTGGGACTGCTCTGGGCCAAAATAATAAGGAAAACAAGGGAGGGCTCTAATGGAATTCAGACAAAGTGGAGCAGCAGTCGAGAACAGATAAAATGTAGTTTATAAAATGTAGCGGACACTCCTGTTTTTATTATATACTCGTATTTAAAATATTTGAAACTATAAAAAATTACTAGAATTTAATTTTCATAATTTAATCAAAGTTAGAAATATATAGTTCTATTATACCTAATCAAAATAATTTGAATGGGAACCTAAATACATTGCAACTCAAAAAATAAATATAGGTAAATGTTAGTATGGATTTGATATTTATGTGATATTGTATTAGAACCGTTTCCTTTTTTCAAGTGTTCTAGGGAGGAGTACTTTTCCTACATTACCGCTACTTCCAGCAATTATATGGTCACATCTACTACCGATCGGTTAAATCAAAAGCCCCGAAAGCAGCGCGTGCCTGACTGACTGACTGACTGACTTCCGCTGAGTCGAGTGTCTGACCCAAAACATTTCCATGCGGGATAGAACATTCTGTAACCTCTTCCCCTAGTTAATATTCAAGCTGTCTTCCGATAGTCCAGACGTGTTTGAGTCACCAAAAGTGCAACTGAATGACTCGTTCCTGAGCCACGCGACCCAAAGAGTTCAAAGAGCGAACCGAAGGTCTAAACTAGGAATTGATATATGGTTAACCCAATGGAAAATGACTCATCCTTGATGGTTAGTAGGGCTGTTAAAATATCTTTTGTATTTTATGGGAATATGTTCCATCTTATTTCAAGTTCCCACAGTGATTTTTGAAATATTTGTATGTATTAAAGTAATGATCATCATTAAAATACAAATTAGATTAATTTATATTGCCTTTACAAGTTTATTTCCATTCCGAAAAATGTAGTAAACTTCTTTAATTTAATTTTGTTAGTAGTTATTTAACTATTCAAGAAAATAACAACACTAAAAATTATGATCGATATTTATACAATTTAAATATTTAAAAGTTAATGTCATTAGATGAATACCATTTAATGTATTTAATAACAATATTTGTATCCATTAGGTATTTAAGAACTCCGAATTTTCCAACGTTAAATTAAGATTCTTTTTTTCTTACCAAAAAAATGTATTACTGAAATATTTACCATTAAAAGTAATGATCACATTTAAGCAATAAAATATGCAAAATCGTCAATATACTGTTCCCAATTCGGGAGCGTTGGCAATTAATATAATAATTTGTATTCAATTGTTGGACGCTTGCTGTCTTACACCTCTACAAATCGATTGGAAACTCTTTTGGCTAATCGAATATTCATTGCATATAACGCACGACTTGTTTATGCTTCGGTTGGTTAAATGGTAATTTCCTTCCATGTTCCATAGCTGAAATTCTAAGCTACCAGGTAAGAAAAGCAAAAAAGAAAGACACGAGTCCTGTCCCCAAGTCATTGACAGCAATTTGATGTTAAGTATGTCTGCCACTGTTTTCGAAAGTCGTGATTTTTTCGACTATTTGGGCCAGACCAATACTTTAAAGAAGTATATCAAATAAATCAAGAAGTTAAGTAGATTTTAAATCATCTGTGGTGAAATTACGCATTACATTATCCTTTTGAAGCAGCTATTTTCTATATCTCAAACCGAAGTTCATCCCTTTCGAATATGTTTATCTTATGAATTTACATTCAATAAACAGTATTTTTAGAAAAAACATATTAAATATTTATTCTGTGATGGTTTTATTCTTTAAAACCAACTGATAGCTACTTAAAAAGATAATCTATCCAATTCACATCTACAGCTTTAACCCATCGTGATAAAAATGTTCCACATTTTCCACAATTATAATCAATCTCCATTTCCACAATGAACCCCAGCCCAAAGTCATTTAGCTAATCGAATGCAATTAAGCCGGAAAGTCTACGACTAAGTCCCACCGATACTCTCTCACACACGCACATTGAAAATGAGAAATAAAGAAAAATCGGCTTAAATCAGATTGCGATTGGCCCGCACAGTTTAAGCCGCCTTTTGTGTTGACCACAAACTACGAAAGTCGAACCAAAGCAAAACGAAAGAGGGAAAAAAATTGTAAATAGTTTTTAAACGAGCATAGCCACAGGCAGCCAATCAACAAGCAGCTCAATACTGGCACACGAAGTCAAGTATGTGTTAGCCAAATAAATGAGCAGAGTTGCCAGCGTGTCTTAAAGTTGGCCTACGAAAAGGCAGAGCTGACTAAGCTCCAAGTTAACCAGAAATTATGTAAAATATTCACAGATTACATCTGTGTTTCCCCCATGCGAGTCAAGTTTGGATTGTTTTATTATAGTATTTATCGGCCTTAATTGATTTATGGCTAATTTGAATAGATTTACAGCTGAGTGGGCAACCAAAACCGGCAAGAGTGGGCAGCTGTGTGTGTAAGTGCTTAGCTGTTGCTGGTGTGCAAAGAGGCGTCTACAAAATGATCGCTTCGCTGCTTGTATTGGTCAATTGGCCAAATCGGTAATAGTGTGCGTTGACTTGTTTGTGGGTAGCGGAGCATGATTAAGCCAAGTACACTAAGCCGAATTATGGTGTTTTTTTTCACCAAAAAATAATTCTAAATAAATAAGGAGGGAAAAATACCATGTTCTTATAAACATTTAGGTTTACTGACCCAGTATCAGGGAAAAATATTTTAATATATACTAGAAAATACATTATAACTTTAATAGTTTTTAAGCAAATAAAATACCAAATATTGTAAGAACCACCATTAAAGGAGATTATCAAAGAAGGAAAATAGTATGTATTGTCTAACTAAGATACACTATACTATAGTGTAATTTTGTAGATATGCTATGATGATACCAATACATGATTTTTGATATGATTGGTATATCGCAAAAATATATTTAAGAGTACAAACTTTGTTGATGGTAAACTATAAATAAATATAAATATTTCAAAAGATAAATCACTCTCACTTTAGGTATTTTCTTATTTCTAATTTACTTAATTTCAATATTTGATAACTAAAACTCTTATTTAATTCAATGTCTTCCGAAATCCTGATTAATTTCAAAACAAACCCTAGTTACCTCTACCTTTTTCTGCCAGTGTCTGATCAGCCACCTCATTGGGCGAGCACTCCGCTCGGCACCAACACACAGGCACTCCGAAAACAGGGACTTGCAGAGCCCGGCTTTGGATGTTGGCCCGATCGGCAGACTGGCTGAAACTGAACGAAAGCCACCTTACCTGTTTCGAAATCAAGTTTGCCGCTTCTGTGTCGCTCCGGTGATCCGCACAGAAAGGTGCACGCGCGCATTCAACACGGTTGTGTGGCCCTCGATCCGAGGTTCTTAGGTGATTTTGTGGATTTATACGATCATCGGAAACGGAACGGATTTGCCTTGCTCAAGCCCCAGAGACCCCAGAGGTTCGGCAGAGCCAAAAAAGCCGTCGGTATTTTACTTTATAGAATTCGTAATCGCGCATCGACTTCTCTTTCATCGTTTCGGTCCTAAAAGTTAATATTTAACGCGATATACCCATGTTGTGCGTCATCCGGCCCATTTGATTTGCAAATTCTAGCCGAGCTTTTCTCGAAAAGAAACCCCATAAATCTTGATTTAATCAAAGTGTTGAATATGCAATGATTCTCTGAATACCTATGTAATGGCCAATGCAAAGAATAGGCTATAATCAAAGCAAATAGTGTGCAATAGAAACCCCACCACATTGGAGCTAATAATCTAAGTAAATACCTAAATAAATATAATAAGTACAAGTTATTGTATGAAAGTGTCAAACATTGTGGCTGATCGAAGTGAATTATGAAATAATCATTTATGCCAAACGCTATTGGAGCTAGCTCTATAACCAAATGGATATCGCAAATTGAATCTTTCGAGCAGAGAGGTAAGTTGAGATCAAGGTCCACATGTTCCCGTTCCCCCACCCGCACCCAAATCGTAATTTACCAATTTCATTATTACCTTTGATAGAAATCAAATAACAAAATACTTAAAAAGCGAGCAAAACCAAAGCCGTAACCCCAAATAAATTCAAAATATCAAACATACACAGTCGAAGTCGCGTTCAAAGAGATATATCTGTGGAGTTCTTCATTTCATTCAATGACTTTTGGTGGTCCCTATTCAAACAACTCCAAACAAATTCAAGCATCGACTCGATGACACTCGAAACGTCAACTCGAACAAATTTTTTTTATCTCCGTCGTCGTCTTTGCTTGTTTCCCTCCTCGGTGATAAGTTCACTTGACAATGAGTTGCAGCAAAGACCCAAAAACCAAAAAGCCAGGCCGAGACGCCAGTGCCCCAAAGACGGTAGTGAACACTCGGATGCTCGAGATGGAAATTTGAAATTCACTTAACAAAACTAATTTCAATTGTTGCACTTTTCGGCTGGGGGGAAAGTAGAACCCAGAAGAGATTTTTCGAGATTTTTCTTGGCGCCATCCCAAGTGGCCTGAAAATATGCCGTATTTGTTTTGGGGTTTAAGGAAAGTGATAGTGGGATGGTTCTTTTCCTGGGCAGTGGAGAACTGGCCAAGGTAAATTGGATAAATAATATGTAGGTCACTGCTTTAAACATTCCTTATGGAATATTTATTTTTCAAAATATCAGATCAGGCGATGCAAATAATTTCATATTATTTAAATAACGATTTCTATAATTATTATTAACATATTACTTTGTTTTATTTTTGTATGTCCTTTGAAAGGCAACATAGATACATTTTTTTCTAACAATGCCAGATTTATAAAGTACAAAAACGCGCCATTTTAAATAGTTGCATTATTGGTACCTCAAAATAAATTAAAATCCACATAGATTTGGACATTTTCCTTACTTGAAATTGGCCAGAAAAATCAAAGCTGTATTAAAAATGATTGCGATGATAAAAAATTTAATTTGAGTTGTTCCAGATTTTACTTATTTTAAGTAATACCAATAGAAAAAGTTAGTTATAGTTTACAGTGAATTAAGATTGACACAAATTTGTTTATTCAAAGTTGTTCAGATTTCGCTTCTCTCAACAACATTTACAAGCCACAGCCGCTTCTCGGAAAGCGAAATCTTAAATTGATTGATCATTACTTAAGACTTAACGAGTTTCAAATAGGATCAACACAGATCTTAACCCAACGAGTGTTTAGTATTTGGGTTGTAAGACATTTCATTAACCCCTAGTTACTTATCCGCCATCGGAGGGCGAAACGCCGACCAATAAAGGCTATAAATCATTTCCAACTCCTTATGCAATCGAAGTGGCCAAATAAAAAATCGAATCCATCAAAAGCGCCAACTCATCGGAGGGCATTGGGGATACTCCGAGCACAGCGTGGCAATTGTTCAAATAGGCAATAACAATACAAATCAGTTGCTTCAAAATATGGCTCTTTTTGTGCCGCAGACAATTCGAACAATATCATGAACTATTTCCAGCGTATGAAAAAAACAAACCTAATCAGCAATTGTTGCTCCATTTCATTAGCAAATCGAAATGGGTAGAGTCTGCAGACTTTCATTAAGATCTACATATTGATTGATATTATCGTTATATTTTCCATTGTGATTGGCCCAAGATTTTGGCCAAATAACCGTGACAATCCGAGACTATAGTGCTGAAAGCGTATGAAAAAAACAAACCTAATCAGCAATTGTTGCTCCATTTCATTAGCAAATCGAAATGGGTAGAGTCTGCAGACTTTCATTAAGATCTACATATTGATTGATATTATCGTTATATTTTCCATTGTGATTGGCCCAAGATTTTGGCCAAATAACCGTGACAATCCGAGACTATAGTGCTGAAAATGCCCTGTCATCTCTTGCTTTTAGAATTGTAACAAATATTTGCGAACGTGCGATCGACGAAATGTATGCGGATAACAAACGTGGCCTAGACAAGGTGACGGCAGCGACCCCGCCCACCCACGCCCTCCAGCAGCAGCAGCAGCAACCGCATCCCCTCCAGCAGCAGCAACATCTGCAGCATGTCCTGCAACTGCAGCAGCAGCAGCAACAGCAGCAGCAACACCTACAGCAGCAACATCATTTGCAGCACCAAATGCACACGCATCATAACTTTGAAACGCCAGCAACTCTGTCGCAACAGCAACACATGCAGCAGCAGCAGCAGACGACACAGCAGCAACATGCAACACAGCAGCAGCAGCAGCAGCAGCAACAGCAACAGCAGCAGCAACAACAGCAACAGACAGCCGGCATGTTTACAAGGTAAGTTCTTAGCGCCAACATTCTGGCTTATCTCCCTTTTCACACGGCCACGCATCACAGCCGCCCAAACATGCAAACTTTTAATTTCAATTTGTTTCGCACGCTTCGATATTTGTCAATTCGAATTTGAAATACGGGGCCAAGTTCGCATTTGGCGGCAGCGAAACTCCTTTCGACCCATTCGCTTCCTTTCCCTGGGCTCCCAACATCCAGACTCCTTTCCATTTCTTCGTCGTCGTTTTCCTTCAGTGCCTCCTGGATTTTCACTGCTTTTGTTTTTCGCTAGGTCTTCCTCCACGAATGCACTGGAATAAAAACTAGGATCTTTACTTAAAATTACTTGACTAAGACTACTTTTTACATTTTTGAAAACTATATTAAAAAAAGAATTATCTAAATTTAAAATGTTTTAGTGGATTATTATAAATTGATTAAATTTATTCACTTAAAGATAGATAATGAACTCAAGAACCTGATACTATTAAATGTTTGTGCTTGGTCAAAATTTTCGATTTATTTACTTGGGTTTTTTCTGAAAGTATCATTATTATGTACATCTTTATTCTTCAAAATATTAAGCCATTGGATTTTGATACATTTTGATAAGTTAAAAAATGTATCTGGGATAAAAGCTATCTCTAGCATCCCTTAAAATATTATAATGAATTATACTAGAAAGTAGGTAATGCTTTTACCCTCCTGAAAGAGTTAACCCAATCCTATCCCATCAATTTTGATAAAGTGACCAATATATCTGGCATAATAGCTTCTCTAGCATCTCTCAAAAATATTTCTCTTGATATTAGAAAAGAGTTAATTGGCCAACTTGTATAGATTCGAATGTAGATTGCCATATACATTGTTGCAAGTGATTAATCTGTTTCTCTCCGTGTACTGATGCTGCTGCTCCTGCTGCCGGTTTTAATGGCCTCTTGTATTGGCAACTTGTAGTTCGCAGTTATCTGGCCCTCGTAATCTCTCCGGTCGGTCTGCGTACCCAATATCCAGCACCCAGCACCCGGCACCCAGTACCCGTACCCCCAGCGCCAATCCTCCGAGGAGCTGAAAAACGCGCAAAATTCACTCCCAGCTAAACTGAACCGATCCGAACCGCGCCGGAGATGCTGTGCCATTTTATTTAGCTCCAATTAATTAGTGCTTCAAATGTTTTGCCATAAGTTAAACCCGCACAGTGCGATGCGATTGACATTACCACGTTGGCAATCGGACGTCCACGAAGACGACGACGCTGGGATGGGGCCCCAAAAAAGGCGTCTCCACACCAGAAATAAAACCAAAAAAAAAACTGAAACCCCAGGAAACCTCGGGAATCGACGACAAAGTCGGGGAGATGCCAGTAAAGTTAGCCACATCTCCTGGCTGCCGTTGCTTCTGAAATGTGTAAAACTCACGTGTGATGTTGTTGATGGCTCGTTCTTTGTCTGCTGAGATTTCCTTGTACTTTTTTTTCGGACTGGGGAAATATCCTGTCTTTGTGTGGGAGATTCTTGGGTAGGTGTTGCCCTGATCTTGGGTTTATTGAGTTTTTTTTGGGTGGGTGTCATTTTGTAGACCCTGCCGGATGCGGCATTGAAATTAGAGCATTTTGTAGTAGCAGCTTGGTTAGGAAAATTGAGATAATTATTTGGAAGCCTATCCTGAGGATAATGCAGTCAAAGGAGAGAGAAGAAAATAAATAGATACATTTTGTATCTTGGAAAATTAGAACGGATACCAATCATTAGAATAAACAATTTTTCCATGTGGTCACAATTTAAATTGCTTTCTTTTCACATAAAAGATATCCCCGAATCACGGAATGCCCATCTTCATTACCAGCTCGATTCAGTTCATTCATCTGAATTTTACGTGACCCATGAAACTATCAATTAGCATGTGAAACTATTGGAATTCCCAGCCACCGAACTATCCAAAATTAAGCTTAAAACTTTTTTTCTGTCCACTCCAAAAAAAGTTCATTGTTCGCGCGCCAAAGCACGCGCTTCTGCACACTCACAGATACAGATTGTAATGTATAGTAAAATCGGGCGGATTTCTATAAATATTTTCCATGCTCGAACGAGAAATGCCCACAACACGCCTCGCACTGAAACAAACAACCGTTAAACAACGAAAACTATATCAATATGCTCTAAATAATAAATGACACTAATTAAACCGAAGAAAACCCGGCGTTTGTTGTTTTTAACACATGCCAGCCAGCAGAGTCAACAAACCTGGTCGCCACTCGAGCCACCACAAAAAATAGAGAAAAAGATCGTAGAAGAAAAGGTGAAGGAAGGAAAAGTCAGCCTTAGCCAAAGATTCCAGTTCAGAGTCAAAGCCAAAAGATACGGATTTGTGAAGTGCATCTCGGCGGCTTCCTGGGTGAAACTAACCGAAACCGTTGCGTTGCGTACGGATTCTGTTTGAGTTTGAGCTCGTATTTGCTTTCGGGCCTGCGCCGTTGGTGTTAATTTTGGTAATTAGCATGCCGCGGACACTCGGCTGAGATACAATTTCGTTCGGCTATCTGTAACACACTGCACGGGGCTGCCAGCTTTGGTAGCAATTTTATGCTGCTAATTTCATTAACACATTTCACGAGAAAAGCGATCAGCCGAGCGGACCGAGCTATTTACCCACAACTCGGCTATCGGTGCAGTAAATGCTGCACTAGATCTCAGTATGCCCAATGCACTGCGAAAGATTCTCTCTGAAACTAAGAAAAATATGGGATGTAAATATATCTTAAAGATACTTTTTAAGCAAGTGATTTTGAAGGTACTTTTCTTATTCAAGGATCAAGATATCTTCAGGATTCTTCTAATGAAATCTAACAATTATTTGATTTTCCCATATAATGATATATTGACTTTGCTACAATCCTTGAGTATACATATTTAGTGCTCTTTAAATAGTTTTTCATTATGTCCTAAAAACGTTTTCCATAAAATATTTGATGGTTGAATTGAAGTAAAGGTATTATATTGATATCGGCGTTTCCCATCTTCACATAGACTATATATTTGGTATTTTTTAGTAGGTACATAAATTTCCACTTCCCAACTTGGGGAGATTTTCCCCGAATTTCTTTCTCGTGCTGGCTGACTTCCGCTTGCATCTAATTTCTAAGATCAATATTTGGTGACGCGCGTCGAAATCGATTTCGGAATGGTCCCCTACATGACTAGGCACAATCTTGGGCATATAAACCCCAATCCGCCGAAACCGAAACCGTTCGGCCACAAAAAGCTGAGCAAATAAGTGCGCCACCTCCGCTGGGGGTTAAGTTTCCAGATCGATGGGGCTGCCCTGGGGCCAACGAAATTATTTAGTTGCGGCATCCCTGTGCTAATTGCCTGACGGTAAAGTGCAACGGCAGCAAACCATCAATCCAGGGAGTTTCAGCTACACCAAATCATACCATAGGATATACCATATACCATATACCATAGTTGGGGTAATTTCTGGCCAAGCCACCGCCGGGCACAAAAAGTATGCAGAGAGCCCAGTCGAGAGACCAAGAACCAAGTCATGGGAAAATTTCCGTACACACACAATTTGGGGCTTGGCTTACGGGCGGAGGAAGAAAAAACTCAGTTTCGCACGCAAATTAAGATAATCGAAAGCAAATGCAGCACAACGGTAGCCGCTCTCCATGGTTAGGCTCAAAAAAAGGCTAAAAAGAAAATCAGCAGAAGAAACGGGTTTAGTACCCGGTAGCAACAAATCATAAAAATATGAAAAATTATGCGGCGGCGTCGGAGGAGATTCGCAACTCGCAACTGCAACTCGGAGGATCGCTCCCGCAAATGACGATGTCCAAGAGCCAATCATCGAAGTGTGCTTTTGGCAGTCCATCATTAAATTGTGGCTAAGATTCCAATCAAACATACAAGACCATCGCAGACGGCAGACGGCAGACGGTAGCATCGGGGCATCAGAGCTCGATTTCATTTCTTTTCAGGCAATGAAATCTCAGCTGCGGTCTGTGGTTTATTTTCGGTTTGGGTATCGCTGGTGTGGTTGAGCGGTGGTGCCACCGAGTGGTGCAGGGTGGTGTGGCTCGCATTTTTGAAATATATGCGTCAAAATAAACACAGTAGCTGCCCGCCAGACTTCTTTATGAGCTTTTGAGAGCAGTAAATTATATGGCTGCGATTTACGGACACACAAACTCATAAGTAAGCTAATTGATTGAGATAATTGAAGGACGGGCGAAGGATAAAGATTTCGGGGTTTTGGGTTTAGGCTGAAAAGGATTATTGAGAAAGGGAAGTGATATGATAGGTTTCAATTTAATTAAAACCTTTTAAATACCTCTAATATTATTTATTCTGACTTTAAACTCATCTATTATAGATCATCTATTAGGGATCATCTATTGGGACTCATCTATTTTGGTAAAAGTAAAGATATTTCAGATTTCAATATAATTTACCCACTCAGTAACTTTTTTTATTACTGATATATTGATAGTTAGATTTGCTATTAAGATATCACTTCTTAAGACAAACATATTAAACTGATTTATCAATTTCAAATATCCTTGAGCACTACTCTACATATAAAACTACCTATTATAATCCAATAAAAAACCTTGTCTGACTATTAAAAGTTTTTATCTTTGAAATAGGCTTTTGGTTCGTAATCTTTGAGCCATATTATGAACGTAAAAACTGGCTGCAGAGCGTATAACACTCAATGCTCACCTGGGGCCGCTTTTACCTATGGCCTGGCATATAATTTGGCTAAAGGCCGCTGCGCTCCCCATGGTTATTAGATTGTTTTTTTCTTTTCTCATACTGTTTTTGTCCAGCTCTTTTTTCTGTGCTAAACGTCGCCCCGATGCTAATCTGTAGGTGTGCGTTTGGCGAAAAGGTATCGATTACTGCCACCGACTTACGCAGAACACAATGAGGCACCCGCGAAGATCTGCAGACAAAAAAACAAGTGTTTGCCGGCTGAATAAAAAATTCCGAGAAATCCTCGAAACCTGGAAACCTCGAAAAAATGGAAAGCATTGTGCGGCGGCGCCTGGGCAATTAATTTGCCAAGGAACCTGGAGCCAGGAACATGGCGAACCCAAAACACGGTGTGGGTTCAGTTTGGGTTTAGGGTTACCCGAGGTTCCCCGAGGTTCCCCGACTTTTAGCTGCCCGGAGAACTGCCCATCAGTTTGAGAGGTCTGGCATTCATTATACGCCGTTTTGCACTATTTTTTGTTGGCCTAAACCGCAGAGATGCAGTCCAAAGTCGAAAGTCGAAAGGGCGGGGCGGAGCGGAGCGGCCAGAAATCATTAGAGCTGCCCGCAAGCTCAATAGCCTGGCCGAACTATATCGTGGGAATATGGCAAATAAACTCGCCCAAATTACACACACACAGCGCTAGAAATGGAGAAAGATCTGGGGATCTGTGGGGATTCGGAGGGAGTTATCTAGTCTGCGACCAGACAATTCGCACAACTCCAGTCTGCAGAAGAGAGGCGAGGAGACGGGACGGGAAGACAAGACGCTTCGGGAAAAAGTGCAATAAAAATTTGCGCAAATTTCGTGTTTCTCTTGGCCTGCAATTGGTATTGACTGACTGACTGGCTCTGGGACTCACTCGATGGTCCACCTTTGCCGAGTGGACTGGGCATCGGGATCGGCATCGGCATCGGGATCCTCCAACCCGACTGACGCCCCTGATGCATATTAAAACTCGGCTTTGGATTGATACCTGCACGGAGAAAAAATTAAATAAATCATAAAACCTAGATGGGATGCTTCTAAATGGTTCTCTTTAAGAGCCTTTTTATGTCATTCTTATCTGTTTACAAGAACTTTACTAACAGGTCGTATTGATCTTTAACACAGTTCACTTTAAGTTCATTTATCTTAAGCTTGCTTGGGTTTTTAAAAGGACATTAGAGTCTAAAGAGGGGTTATAAAATATTCACATACACCATCTTGAAATGATCCATAAAAATTTTACTATAAGCTCATATATCATATTAAATTGAGAAGTTTTGGCCTGTTTTAACATTTTGAACTTTATAGGACTATTTTAAAACTGAAATTTCTTTTATAGTATATTAATAAATACACCCCATTTCTCTCCGTGTAGCCCTAGCGGGTGGAGTTCAGCTTTGGGGTGGGTTGAGGAGTTCAGTTGTCTTGTGATTTATTCGCTGCCCACATTTTTACGATGGCGCTCTGAGGGCCCGGGCCCTCCATAAAAATCAGTTGGAAAACGAAGGATCTGAGCCAGCCCCATAGATGCGCATTTAAAATCCATTTAAGTTAATAGTTTGGCATTATGTTACCCCGACGGTTTATGTGCTAATTAGTGAGGGATGGCGATTGGCATTGAGATCACAGGAATCGCAATTGGAATTGGAACTGGAATCGGAAGAATCTGAGCCAACAAGATTTGTGCCTAATTTCTGTGGAGCACGTTAAGTTTTCCATCGCCAGTTCAGTGTTTTCTCGGTTTTTTTTATCTAGTCAGAGGGCAGAGGACCAGAACTCAGGCTGGACCAGACTTGATTAAGATCTCTTCCACTGCGCCAGAGGATCCCCAGTCGCAGATTAAACATGTGGCTCCACCGGAGAGACCAACCACCAACACAGTGGCCACTGGCTGGATGATCCCACAACGCCTCGCTAAGAATCGTGTTTATGCTTTTAATTAGCAACAACAACTTGTACAGTAGTTGCCACAACGGCGAACGGCCAACAAGTTGGTGCTACTTAGTGCAGATTTCAAGGTAGCGATAGATATATTAAGAAATGTTGACATGTCTCGCTCACTCAGATAAATTTTGATGTAGATTACGGCCGGCTGTTCGGGGTCTTCCGTCCTCCATCCTCCTTCCTCCATCCCCCATCTTCCATCTCCAGTTCCATCCACCCGCTACAGCTTTATATATCTGATATATCTCTCCCTGCCCATTAACACGTTTTTTGGATTTTTATTTTCCTTACTCTGGCGACCATGCATTACGAAAGGCTGATGGCATTATCATATTATCGCCTGCAACGCTGGCATCTTGTTTATGATAAATATTTGAGAAACTTATTAATTATGCCACAAATAGCCAGCCAGATAGCAGATCGCAGAAGCCTTTGACATTTTTAAGTAGCTAATTGGGAGAGGAACGTTCCCAGCTGAATAAAGTATGTGTGGGAGGATCGTTATGGATTGGCCGGGGTGGAATGACCAAAGTTGGATTTTACAAGATATTAATCAAGCGGGGGTCAACCAAAATAAACAAGCAGAATGAGGAATTTCAACTAGCCTTTTGGACATTCTAAGACCACAGTAATATTAACTTAATAAAATATGTATAATTCTTAAAGTAAAGGTTTAAATATGTTGATATCATTTAAACTTATTTAATTATAGTAGTTAGGAGTCTTAATATTTAATTAAATATGTCCTTAATCAAGTGAGTTTTAGGGTTACACAAATGGGAACTTGCATAGTTTTTTATATCTTAAAGATATATTGCAATAACGGATCCGACTTCCATGCCTTATATATGTGCCCACCAAAACTGAATTCATTGAGTTTCGCATGTTTTTAGATAGTTTATTCTTTGGCTGACCCTTCACCACAGCCCACACATGCTGGCCGCCCTGCTGAAAAGCAAACATTTATGTCAGATTGGCCACAAGTGAGCGACTCGCAATCTCAGCATTTAAATCAATATTCATTTTAATTGTACAAATCACCTTGACTTAAATGCGCGCCAGCTTGCCAGTGAGTGTGAGCCATACTCGACCACTCAATTTCGATTCTGGGCCCGGGCTAAAACTGTTCTATCCGAGAGCCAAGTACCAACTGGTCAAGAGTGAATAGGCCTTATGCATGAATATATTTCAAAGCCAGAAGGCGAACGAAGCGATCTGTGGATGCTGGATGGCGTTCGATTCGGTCTCAGATTCTGTTTCTTTTTCTATGTGTCTTGCTTTATTTTTTACTGCATGCCTCCGAAGCGGTTGTTGCATGCAACTCACAGTCACACGGACGCAGTGAGATTGTTTTAAATGTTAACATGGCCATTTAGAGGCAATAACAGCGGCAAAATGGCAGACAGTCGAACGAGGAAAGCCAAAAAGGCGCGGGCACTTGCTGTTATTACAACAATATTACCAATATTTATCATACACAAAAAAAGGCTTGCAAAATAATCGCCAAAGAAACAGAACAGAAACAACAACAATGGTCGGGCAAAACGTCAGCATAAATAAAAAATACTCATACGCCGCATGCGCCGCCGACGCCGACTGCATAAAAAGACAAATTTATGATTTATGATTTCAACCTTGTAAATAATATGCTCACAAAAGTACACACGGACAGTTTCTGCTAAACGCTTGTGCCGCCAGTGCCCAAAAGCAGCAACAACCACAGCAACAATCGTTGCTGACCAACCTACTTGCACAATTTTTCCGCACAAGGCATGTGGCAAGTGTGCCCCACATCAACCACCGCTCGAAACCACCGAACCACCGAACCACTGCACCACCATCTGAACCACAGCCAGCGGTATGTGGCTCGTATGATTTTTAAATGCGCGATGAGTTATTTATGCATCGGGCATCGCGCGGCGGTATGTGCGAGCCATCCTTAACCCATTGTGGTCAGTCGATCGGAGGTAAATAAAGTGGTCGTAACTGAGTAAATACTGATTTGATTGGGATCGAGATTCAGAAGAATTGGTAGTGGATTGACGAAATTACAAGCCTCTTTTATTTAAATATAATAATATTATTTGATTGAAGATGTGCCTTTAGAAAAGCAAATTTAAAAATATATTTCTGCGCTTGAAAATATTTATAATACTAAAAACACAAAGAATACTTTTTCTTAAAAAAGGTTTTTAAGAAAGCAAGGAAATTAAGAATATTTAAATATTTGGGTTTTTATAATATTATGAAATTACTTATAATTCAATTTACAATGCATAACAATTTTTTACAAACTTACAAACCAAATGTTTCTATTATTTTTAAATATCTAATGCCTTTACTAAAATTTAATTGTAGAATGTTAAAAATTTAATAGAACTACATAATAAACCAATAATATTAATAAGCTTGAAAATAAACTGTAACTTTTTAAATGCCGCGTTATTTTGAGGCAATCTATCAGAACCTATAAAACTAAGATTGAGTACTTAAAGTTGATTTGCTGAATTGTAGGTGTCGGCACAGGTTGGCTTTGACTTTGTATTAAAGCTACAAAAGCGAATAATGCTAGCAAATATAAGTTGCATTCCTAAGCCAATTCCCAGGAAACTTAAATCACTTAAATCACCTGGCAATGGGTTAATAGGCCCAAGAGACACCGCACTCGAGTAAGAAACACACCCGAGTGTTTGGCTGTGAAAACACATGCCCCTCAGCCATGTTGCATTCAGCCTGTCCACTCGGCACTTATTAAGCCGTAGCTGTGAACACAGAGCCATATATTCTAATTGTTTAACCATATCCCGTCTCCATTTGGCCCATTGCAGATTCGATGCCAACAAATCGACGAAGGGCGCCTCGAAGATGCGACGCGATCTCATAAATGCGGAGATAGCCAATCTGAGGGATCTCCTGCCGCTGCCCCAATCGACGCGCCAGCGCCTCTCGCAGCTCCAACTGATGGCTCTGGTTTGTGTCTATGTGCGGAAAGCCAACTACTTCCAACAAGGTAAGTCTGCCCGGGTCTACAGGGAACTGCCAGCTACGAGAACTGAAAACCAAAAGCCAAAATACATATATGCATGCTGATAATTGGCTGCACGCTGATTGAATATGCATGAGTCATGAGCAGATGGAGATTGCGGCTGCGATTGTGATTGTGACTCTGTGCAGCCGCGAAGATTGAGACCGCCGAGTGCAGGACCCACCGCCGCTGCACTTCGAGAATGCAGTTGCCAAAAATGTATCTAGGAAGTTCCCTTGAAGTCTTTGGCAAAATGTAGCATGTTTACAAAATCATTACTCGGGTAGTAAGCAATTGGTTAGCACATTAACACATTTCTTACACCTTTTCATATGATTTCAATTTGCAAAATATTCGATTGGCCCAGATGAAGCTATGTAGGCTATTTGAACACTTTTTGATGAGTTAAATTGGGCAAAAATTGACATTCCTTTAAGGGATGACTTGAAAATATTTCATTGCCTAGATATAATCCCAACAAAAAAAAAATGTTGTCCAAATAGCCTTTATTTATTACTTATCAACAATATTCTAAGTATAAACAAATAATATAAGATACAGAATTCAATATAAATATTTTGGAGCTCTATAAGTTCTATAAATTGAAGCCACAGATACAGGACACTTAAGATACTTACAGATTTGACTTATGTGTGATGTCTGTGGTATCCTCAATATATTTCTAAAACAGAAACCCCCATTTTCGCTCAGTGCACCGCCGACTTTCGTTTAGGCCGGAATGAAAAACCGCTAGGCGCATGGCTTCGCTTTGGTTTAAACCAACATCATTCATATGTCGAGTGTCCCTCTATCATGCCCCCAAAAGCCCGGCTGAAATTGTTTTTGGCCAAGTAATTGCCGCAGCGTCTAGGCACGCACCCAGTTCCAGGCGGGCCGCAATTGCTGGGGGCCCCTCGGTTGAATACTTCAGATCCTCGAGTGCCCGAGTGCCCGATCGGTCCCCAGAGGTCCCATCCTCCTTTAATGCGCATGCGCGCAGGTCAACGCGCAACCGAACAAGATTGTTCGCTCTTTACTTACCTATTTGCGCTGCTATTTTTTGTATCTTTCGGCTTATTTTTTCTGTTTTTTGTGGATAATTACGAAAATTGTTTTTCAAATTAGCGTTGTGCGGTACATAGGCCCATAGATAACACACCAGGCTGGGGAACTCTTAACTCTCGGCTCGCATCTCCCGGTGCTCAGTGCTCAGTGCGCAGACAGAAACGAAACGAAAAACTGGAGGAAGCCCATGTGAAACTGTTGCAGATCCGTGGCATCCATACTATCTCAAGCCACCAACTCCTCCAACTGCAAACTGCAAACTGCAAACTGCAAGTCTCCTTGCCAGGCAATTTCACAATTGCAATGGTAACAACGAGCGTCTGCCTGGCATTGCTATAAATATTGCGATAAATCAAAATGTGCGATTTATGTGTTCTACAAATTGCAAAAAATTAAACTTAAGTACTGCTCTTTTCTCCATCCATCTCTCCTCCGCAAATTCCCAACCCGTAAGTGTGAGAAATAGTCGGCGTTTTGTGGCAGGCCCCCATATCGTATCTTTTGGGCCACTTGGGTGTGTAGTTGCTGTTTTTGTTGTTCATTGTCATTGCACCGTTTAAAAGCATTTATAATCACAAATTGTGTTAATATTGGCACGCCATCGAAATCGCTTTGTATCTGCTTTTTTTGTATCTCCCATCCAAGTTCAATGGATTCGTTTGCTCTCCGTCTGAGTTTTTTGTAGATGTACGTTTGTGGGTGGGTGTGGCTGCCGGCGAGATAGTCGCGATTAATGAAATACATATTTATAAACGAAATTGAGTTTTCAATACAATGAGATTCTTTCCGTTTTCGGTTCGTATGCAAGATCTTGAGCCCGGCGGCTCGGCTTGGATCAGATCAGATCGAAGAGCGTATAATTGGCAAGCATTTAGTATTGTCGTGTTTGCTAGCGAATCTCGCAAGAAAAGGCACAAAGCTGTGAAGTGGTCACAGATTAAAAATAGTTTTCGGTTGTAGTTCAAGGCGTTTGATTCATGTGGGTTGCTTTTTTATAATTTTATTGTTTATGGATAAAGAATTAATTAAGAAATTCAACAGTAAAAGATTCCTGCTTCGAGCTGGTGTTGGTATCAGAATTGCTTGTCGATAAATACAAAAATGTAATCAAGAATTCAGAATAAATGCCATTAAATGTAACATAATCATTTCTTAAAATAAAACGTTCTTTAATATTTAAAATCATATTTATTGTAGTCAGCTTGACTTCAGTGCCACATGATTACATTTCATTTTATTCCTCAAAACTTCTTTAAATATCCCTGACACATTTCAACCATTTTATCTTCATGACTCTATAGTGAGTTCCGTTCAGCGAGATAAATAATAAAGTCAGCTACATTCCCTTGCCCTTGTGCTTTGTAGATTTCCAAGTGCAAAAGCATTGAGCTGGCTGCCACTCCCCTTTTATTTTTATTTTGGCTGAATCAGGTACGCTGACGACAGACTTCTTGGCAAAACGGATTTCTGAGTATTTTGCCCGGATAGTGGGTAATATTAAGGCCCAGCGAAAATCTGACTGCATTCATGGCCTTTCCGTTCAAGTTCAATGAAATTACCAGTTGCGGTTGCTGCTGTTGCAGTTGCTGCTGCAGTTGTTGCTGCTGCTGCTGCAGTTGCTGTTGCCGTGGTGATTGCGGCCTGATGCTGATTTTGTGGCTGTTTCTCTTCGGCTTTTTGTTTTGTTTGCCAGGTGCGGGAGTATCTCGTAGTGTTTTAAAAATAATTGATCTTGATGCTGCCTGCAATGCAGCTGCAAAACAGCAATTGCACTCAGCGATCGCAGCCTGATGTTGCTGTTGCCACTATCGTTGATGTTGCTGCTGTTGTTGCTGTTGCTATTGCCGTTGCTGTTGTTGGCTCTTAGTGACAATGACACATTTTCTTTTTGTGATTCACTTGTTTTTGTTAGGCGGCAGGCAAACATCGTTGCCTCATTGTATGTAGAATGTAGAATATAATCAATGAATTAACAATCAAATGCATCTAACGATCGCCGTCACAAGTGAGAGAGGTTTCCGAGTCTATTATTAACAGATAGTTTTTAATTAGCCAGGCTTTTGCATACAAATTACCGCCATGGGAAAATACTCATATCCACTTATCGGATATTTATCCCCCCAACTGTTTTATACGGATGTCTTGATCGGCAGGGCGCGCCTGCGCAAGACACAAAAGGTCAATTAACTTAATTGGCATGATTTTCAAGAATCCGTTTTCTCTGCTCCTCTCATTGCAGTTTTCAAGCGTCACAATGCGATACATCATCTCCATCACCAGACAGCAACACCAAATATTGGCTTCTCAAAGGTAAGAAAGATGGAACTGTCCAATAAGATAAATATATATAATATAATAAATAAATATGTAAATACTACTATTTTTTAATCATTATCCAGTCTTAATTTGGTTCCTTTTTTCCTTGGAAACAGTCCCCACAATTCATATTCAATCAGTGGGTAATTAGGAATCCGATTGCCGGATCTGCGTTCATTTACCATATAACCTCGGCAATTTTCCATTCCGATGACATTTCGATTAGGCTCCCAGGGAACCGAGAGAAACAACTCAATTTAAGCCATCGCGGTGACAACTTAACCGAAAGTTCCCGGGAAAACAACTCTATTAATGGCACAAAAGCTGGCCATATCATAAGTCAGAAATCGTTTTGCTCGCCGCCACTTGCTGCGCCAAAAGCGAGAAGAGGAAATCAGCCAAAAGCCAGCGGGCCAAACAATAAATGCCCGGGAAAAGCCAACAGATTTACAGGAGCAGCAGGCACTAAAAAACAAAAAAAAAAGTAAAAAAAAATAAAAGACTGAAGACAGTAGTCAGTCAAGCTGCCTGGCACTGACTGCTCCAATCCGGGCGAGATTGATCTACATACCTGTGCACACTCGTGACTGAATTAAATACTATAACCACAGTACGAGTACTACTCATACCCATACCCATACCCAAACCCATACTCCCCCTTTTCGGTTCGGTTCTCTTCGGGAGCTTTTTCTGCGGTTGTCAACGTGGGTTTTTAGCCAGGCTTTTGGGCCAACAATTTATTAGTGCTCAGACGCGAAAATGAATTTGCATTTCCAACACAAGATTCAATTTATGCTTTTTCGAATAGAGGGTGTTGAAAGTGTAGTAGCTTTTATGCATAATAAGGCGTTTAAATTGTTAGGGGGCTATAAGCATAATTGCATAGCTCAATCTATTGAAAAATATATTTATAATTTAAGGTCGCTTACTATAAATGAAAGCAAACCAATTAGTTTTACCAAAACGAGAAAAATTACCAAAGCTTATTGACAATTTGAAAGATTTTCAGTGATTCTTAAACGGATTTCTCTTTAAAGTAAAATATTATATCGCGAAATTAATATATTATTTTAGGAACCTATTTTACATATTCAAGCTTATTGACAATATATATGATTTTCCCCCGATTTCAGAAAATATTTTATATGTATATCAAGTTTTTCTTAATAACCACTCTTTATTCTTTAAAGATAAACTTATATAACTATTAAGGATCTTTGATAATATAATAGATTTTTTCGCGGTTAATTTATAAATACATTTCTATACTTAAGTAGATATATTAACATTTATCTTTTTGATAACTACTATGATATTTTAAGAGCCCCTTAAATGCACTAACAATCACCCTGTACTCACGGTCGTATTTGTTTTACAGGCACTCTCCGGCTTTTTGATGATGCTCACACAGAATGGCAAATTGCTCTATATATCGGATAATGCGGCCGAGTACTTGGGCCATTCCATGGTAAGAGATTTTTTCAAAGACATTTGCGAAAGTTGCGGATTGTTTTGGGCTGGTTTTCTGTTTCGGGGGTCGCAAAATGGTTACAACCGGTGATACAAATCTCTGACAAGCGACAACAGGCAAACGACGATGCCTGTCGTCGTCGTCAGAGCATGTCATAGTCTCCCAACAGCAGCAGCAGCAGCAACAGCAACATAAGCACAGCAGCAACATCGGCGGTGCAGCAGCAACATCAGCGTTGCAGCAGCAACAGCAAACATATTTGTTGCACTTTTTGTGCTGTACTAGTTGCTGATGTTGTTGCTGCTCCCGTTGACAAGTTAGCAACTGTCTAAAGACCCAAAGAGACCCGATTCATTGAGCTTATATAAGTCGCTTGGTTTTGGTTCCTTAAAAACCACAGCTCCGTGTTTCAAGCTTTGTTTATTGCACGTTTATGCCGCTTAAATAGCAAGGTTATACATACTTATACACACATATAAATGGAGTTGCATATGTACTTGGCCTTTCACTTTGCATTTGAACTGACGGTCTAAATAAATCTGGCCAACTCGAGAACATGTGACATATCTCCGTTCTACATATAAAGCAGAAATAACAGACATTGACAAAGGTACCTGAGATTAGGCGACCAGGTGATTGTCGGCTCCTCGAAGTCAAAGTCTTCGAAGGCAACGGGGCGTATGTGTAATGCCTGGGTTCCACCACGGAAAATTATGCCATAAATCAGAGCCTGGCCTGTGATCCCAAGAACGGCTTACATGACCGAAAAAAAAGCTTGATCAGCCTCAGCTTCATATCAAAAGGAAACGCTCCACTTGTTTTTTATTTTTCTTAGCCAGACCAGACAACCTCTCATATCAACTAAATTGTACCCCCTCTTTAGAAGTCAAAAAGCTAGACAAGAACAAGCCAGCGGCAAGACAGGAGAAGCCAAAAAAGTTAAGAAGAAATATAAGAAACAAGTAAGCCAATTGGCAACCATGACATTTGACAGCCTTTTGGCCTTTGTGCCGAGCGCCTTATCAGGAGTTCCGAGGAGTTCGGAGGAGTTCCAGGGAGTGGAGACTTCTGGGAGACACCCACAAGCCCACCGAACCAACTAAATGGTCAGTGAAGTTCATAAATTCACTCGAATGCCATGTGTTGGCATAATTACGGGCACAATAAAAACCGAATTGGTATGGTGTGTGCACATGGACAGGCCCAAAAGTGGCTTGCCCAACCTTTTAATTTGTGTGGCAAGGCTCGGAGTTAGTTAGCGGCGGTGGAAACTGAAAAAAGAGCTACAAAACAGCAGCCACAACTACTGGCCAAGTTAATTAACAAACTGCCAAAAATGTCAATTGATCTGGGCAACATTGTGGCTGGTGTGCTGCTGCCTGGCTGGCTTTTACTATTGCCGATGTTTCTGCTGTTGTTGGGAATCATAATTCGAATTCGATTTTTGCATATTCCCATAACAAGTTGCCATTGTCATGTGTCATGTAGCGACAGTGGCCATAAATAAATTACAGCCACATCGGCCTGCCATTATAAATTGGTCGATCGTTCGCTTGGCTTCGTTTCGCTTCCATTCGATCGCTCTCTCCTTCGCTGTGGCCATAATTGTCAACAATAATAAAAGCTCATGACATAAACGGCCAGCAGGCAATTGGCCACTAACATCAAAGCCCCATCGAAGGCGATGAGCATGCGAGATCCGTGACACATCATTAACAAATTACAGCAAAAGGCTGACTAATTGAAAGTTGTTCGAGGGGAAAGAAAGGATAATATTAAATTTAAAAATCTTTATGTATTCATTCCATATTATTTACATACTATTTACTATTTATTTTTAAGACATATCCAAATTATAAAATCTTTGAGTCACTTCCCAACAACCATGATCATGGCCAAACACCACTCGCATTATATGGTAATGCGCAACTATTCACTGACTTGCACTTTATATGACAGAGCCCAACTATTTGCTGACCAGTGTAAACCCGTGTTAACCATGTCCCCTCTGCCGTTCTCGTTACAGGAGGATCTGCTGATACACGGTGACTCCGTTTACGATATCATTGACAAACAGGATCACGCAACCATCCAGGCCGAACTGAATAGGAACGTGCCGCCGCAGCCGGGTGGCTCGAGTCAGAGTCAGGCGAGCGGCGGTGGTGCCGGTGGTGCTGGCGGTGCCGGTGGTGCCGGCGACTCAACGTCCAGCAATGGAAGTGCCGGTGGAGCCGGTGGTGGTGCTGGTGGCGCCTCCAGTCTCGAGGGCGAGCATCGCATGTTCCTCTGTCGCATGAATGTTAGCCGCAATGCGCGACGGCAAATGCGTTTCGGCGATCAAAAGGTGAGTGTCAATGCACTGAAAGGAAAATACATATTATCCATATAGATATTTACATTTTATGAGGTCATTTTACTTGGTCAAAAATCCAGCTCCTTTATAAGATACATCACGGTTTAATCTACCCACTTTCTAGGAATTTATAATTCTAGAACAGCTTGGGAATTATAAGTCGTTTGTGCATCTATAAAGCTAGCTAATATATAATATATATATATATATATATATATTTTATTGTAGGGCTATTTCCCTAAAGAATTATATTATATAGTAGGTATGCCACTTTGAAAAGCTAGATTTCTTCGGTCTAATCTAGATTTTTTATTAATCACTCTTTACCATTCAATGTTAATTACATCATACATTTTGTTTAAATGTGCTTTAAGACCCACTGATTTTTTTCTCCGTGCATGTTTGCGTGGATGAGTAAGCGCGTGTAAGTCTCTGACAGGAATTGATGAATGAATCACCTGGGAAGCGTGTTGCGTGTAACACTTTACCACACTGCAGGCTCCCCCGATCCTCGGATCCTCCACTCCGCCGCTCAACATCGACATCTTGCTCTGGCATGAATTATGCATGAGGGCAGGGAAATGGAGTTGCAGATGGAGATGGAGTTGCGAGTTCGATTGGAGAAGAACCCCTCGAACTCATGCGTTTGAGCCGGCGGCCAACTGGTCATACATCTTGCCAACGAGCCGGGTTTTCTATAAGCTGACAAACGATGACAGTTGATGGGAAACGGGTGGGTGATTGCTGTTGCTGTTGCAGACCCCATCCCACCTGGTTTCTGCTTTTTACCTGCTCTGATTGGCCGCCTCTCGGCGAGCTGATGATGATGTGAATAAAACGAGGCGGCCATATGAAGTTGTCTTCCCAGCCATCTCAACTCAACTGCTCGGCCGCAGGTTGAACAAGACAAGACCAAATCTGTCAACGTGTTGAGCGAAGCGTTGGCTGTGGCAGCCGCTTTTACCCGTTTTGGTCATGGATGTTGGCTATGTTGCCTCTATGGGATCTGCTGCCTCTGTGGGATCTGCTACTGTGCACCATGTGGTGGGCGGTCGCTTCACTTTTATTCATATCTCCGCCGATCCGAGACGCGTCCATTTTTTTCCTCGCTTTTGCACAGATGTGCAGTGAGCAAAATTATGGAGATAAGCCCAGGCGTTGACAGTTGGCTGAAAACGTTTTTAATTAAGTTGAGTGTTGGCAGTTTAATGAGGTGCAGGAAGTGCTGAGCTGGGAGATTTTTGTGGATAAAGGTGCAAGACTTTAACTCAGGGAATGCCATGCACAATAAGGAAGTTAAAAGTATTACAATAAATTTTAAAAAATTTTTAATAAAAATTTAAACATATGAATAATACAAGGGACTAACATTTGCGATCCTTAAATAGATAAAAATATGTATTTAAACTCCACTAATTGTATTATTTATGCTTTGTTAGTAAGAACTAGTATAGTTAGTACATTAAATGCATCAGCAGTTATAAGCAATAAAAATTAGAACCCTATAAAATTATATATCTGAATGTTTAAAAAGACCTCAGCGAATGTCCAATTCGTTCCCAGCCTTGCTCAGAACATAAGTGCCTAATCTAGTCCCAAGCACACTCGACGCTCAAGACCCACATGAACTGAACCGGCGATAACCCCCAAAGTCAGGCCTTATAGCCAAGCCAAGCTAAATGCAAGCACATTCACTCCCAGGCTGGCACTCGTTAATATGCAATAAAAATGGACCAATAAATAATTATGAATGAGGTCAGGCATAGTTCAGAGCTAGTAACCAGTGTGCCAGACGGCCATACCCCATAGACAAAAGCCCAAAAAACTAAAAAATCGAAAAAAGTAAAAAACAAAAGCCAGGGAAAAAGAGAAGAGACGGCGACAGCGCCGGCAGTGGCGCCTGGTCCCCAGTCTAAGGTCGTCTCATTTACCAAAAACTGAGAAAAAACTAAAAAAACAGAAAAAACAAACCCCAACCGACGGGTTTCATTGGGGGATCGGGTGGGTTTTCGGTATCAGGATCGTTGGGCTGGCTGCATTTGCATTTAAGCAGAAGAAGCTGCGACGACGACGGCGGCGGCCCATAAGCCTCGAAAATGCAATTGCAGTTGGGACGACGAAATAAATGCAGGCACGTTTTAATTGGGAGACAATGGCTCCGATTCGACGAGCCTGAGACTGCCTGGTGGGTTTTTCTTAGCTTTTTGCTCCTCTGTGGAGGAGTTGGCATACAAACATTTCTGTGATTGCATTTTTAAATTATGGAATCAGAGTAAAATGTCTATGAGAGAGTGCGCCGGCATGCCGGTCCAAAAATGGCCATAGTAAGTAGGTACTCCCCAGATGCCCCACGTTGGGCGCCAATTTTCGTGGGAGCCAATCCGCAGAACAAAGCCAAACGCGTTGCATCTCTGTTTCTTCTTTTTTTTTCTTGCAGGTTGTCCTGGTCCAGGGTCACTATTTGTCATTCCTGCCCCTCTGCAGTCGCAACGAGCCCGTCTTTTTGGCCACCTGCACTCCGATTGCCATGCCCGAAACCAGGAGTGTGTGGTGCAAGGTGCCACCAACGTCTTCACCACCATCCACTCGATGGACATGAAAATAGCCCACATCGACAAGAAGTGAGTAGCTGGGATAGATGCAATTGACAGTTTATACCATGATAAATACTATGATTATGTTATTTTATCGCTTTCAGTGGCGAGTTCCATTTGGGATATGATAAGACCGCGCTGCAGGGCACATCCTGGTACAATCTCATCCACAGCGAGAATCTGAGGGAGGCGCAGAATAAACACAGATTAAGTAAGTGTTACTTTTAAATTAGGAATAAATCAATGCCTAGTAATCTTATTTGGCCAATATAATAAATTAAAATTTACAAAACATAATAAAATAAACCAGCCTACACGGCACAAAAGCTTTAAAAGAAATATGTCGCATAATATCAAAACATATTAAACTAATTTATAACACAGCTTAAACTATTCAAACTAATTCAAAGCCTAACACTTGGGCTAAGCCTTTCTGTTAAATGGTTTTTTTCCAATGTCAGCCGATAAAAAATATTGAAATGATCTAACTAAAAACCTGTTAGGCCGCTAAGAAAAACACCATTTTAAGTCGATTTCTTTGAGTAACGACTTTAAAAAAAATATATTTTGTGGGCTGATACATTTATCCCCTTTTTATAGTTACGCAATCGAGCAGGACGCAGCTGCATCCTGCTGGTGCGAATGCAAAGATCTAGCGGAGAATATACATGGGTTCACGTGGTGTTACAAGTGCGAGATAGTCCCGATTCCACTCAACAACCTGTTATCGTGTGCACCAACCAAGTACTCAAGTAAGTTTTCAACAGCTACTTCTTTACCACAATCCAGATACTATATTTATACTAGCAGCTAACAAAATAAACCTAATCATGAAAATAGACACTAAATGTTATTTTTTAAAACATTTTCGATACATATTTTCCACCTATAAACCTTTTACCATCCACTTCTAGTGATCGCGAGGCCTCGATAATGCTGGCCAACTCCTGGTTGTATCACTACTATACCGTCCAGTCGAAATCCAGTTCGGCATGCCGCTGGACAGTGGGATCCGTGTGCCGCCGGGAACCCCCTCCAGTGGTACTACAGCCCCACTCCTCCCATCCGCCGGCCACTCCAGGTGGGGCGCCACGCCCAGCCTGGGCATAGCCAGTAGCTTTGGCGGCCACCATCACACGCATCACTCGCACCACCCGCACCACCACCACCATCATCCGCACCACCCGGCAACGGCCTACCATCATCATCCGCACATGGGAACCTACGGGGGAGTCTATCACGCCGAGGCGGCCATCGAACTCAAGGAGGATCAGCCGCTTTTTAGCTTTCAGGAACCGGTGGACTACAGCCAGGTGACAGGCCAGGTGAATCCCCCAGCGAATACTCCCAATCCGCCCGCATCCAAATCGGCCACGCCCCCACCGCCCAAGAAGCGGGCCGCAAATTGGAACCCCTATATCTCCATGCCGAACGTTCTCCGGCGGCTGCGATTACCCCGGAACCCGATTGCTATGCCATCCACACTCATCCAGCTGCTGCCTATGCCACCTCATCATCGGTGGTCAGTAGCGATGCCTCGGTTATATATGCCACCATAGTTCCAACGAGACCGAGGCTACCCAATAAATCACTGCCTCCCGATCCTGCGGATTTTATCGAGCAATGGAATCCCAGTCCTCCATGGTCAGAATCGGCGCAAAAGGCCTCGTTGGATAGTTTCGGATCCTCCCACGAGCTGAGTCCCTGCATCACAACCACGCCCCCCACGCCCACCAGTGCCACCCCGCATCAAAGTGGCTTGGGAACCACCCAGACCATAGGACCTGCCTTCAGTTTCGAGTGGATGTCGGATCCTCTGGTGCCCGTTACCTACCAACAGTGGCCACCAACCGGGGACCATCACCAGCACCTTTCGCAGCACTTGAGCCAGAGTCAGAACCAGAGTCACCATAATCCTCTCCAGCAGCAGCAGCATCTGCTCCTGGGACAACAACCACTTCTCCACCAGCAGCAGCAGCATCATCAGCAGCATTTAGCACTTCATCATGGGCGTGGGGAGCCATCTTTGGAGGGGGAAAGCCAAGGAGTGGTGCCACCAATACCCATTTCGATACCGATACCAACGGCCACGGGCCATGGGGATGTCGGGGAACCGGTTGAGGATAGAGGTTAGTATTTACCCTGTTTTTTATATCTAAGTTTTGGCACGATTTCCCGAAAGCTGCGGCCAATTCACACTCCATGGCTAAGTAATTAAGGCCGCCAAAACAAAGCCGAGCTCTAGTAAAAGGCATCTTAATTATTGATAAGTATGGGCTTCCGCCAAGCACATGCCACGCTTATGCTAATGCCCCTCCGCCCTTCACATGGTATCATATCTCTATCCATCTATCTACATCTTGCAGATCCCAAAAATCAGTGACCAGCTTGTGAGCTTGGAAATACCCAGAGATCACAGAGATCGCAGATCTGCCATGGCGGCCAGGTGATAATCACACTTAAATTAATTGCCACTTGTCATCTTAGCGTTTAAATATTTTTATCTAACACGAGGAAAACAAATAACGCAGCACGCTATCACACATTCGTTTCTCGATACAAACAGCTAATTTAAGTGATTTCCATATATCCCTTTTGTTTTCCAATTCCCATTTCGTATGTGCAATCTTGAGAAAAACACTTAAAATTAAGAATGAGTAGCGCTTGGAAATTAGTTTTGCGATTATATAGAAACAGAAGCGAATGATATTCCAAGCCAAGCCGAGAGAGCTCTATTAGTTGTAGCGTTTTTATTAGCGACATTTTTATGGCGCGCGCTTAAAGTTTTTACGATTACTCGTATTTCTGTATCGGGTAACTCCGTAACCCCACAAATATACATATATCAATACTTCTACATAGACTATTTAGGTTAATTATTGTATTTTATTTATTAAAAGTTTATTTATATACATATTTATTACCATACTTTCGTATTTTGCTTATTGAATAAACAAACTTGTAAAGTATTTTCGTTTGAAAGGAAATGCAAAAGTTGTTTCTTTGAGTGGGAAGAGAATGGAATGCAGAATATTTCAGACAGAATAAATTATGATATACGAGTACGCTTGCAAATCTTAAATTTAATGGGTAATTAAATAAATCGCATTGAAGCTATAAAAAATCCATTTATGTCGGAAATGGTTAGAATATTTTATCTTTATTTGCATTTCAATAAAAATAAAAACAAGAGCTTTTAAGGAAACTGACTTGACCCAAATCCCAACACATGTCATAAACACAGGAAAATCTTAGCTATGCGGTCTCTGATCAGTGATCACAAGATGATTACCATAATGACGAGAAAAGCGCGATGGGAAAATGTCATGATTTTCTTGGGGTCCTCCATTAATGCCTTGCACTCTGAACCAGCAGCCGAATTCGAATCATTCGCTTTCGCCCAGAAACTAACCAACCGAAAATCCCAAAAAAATCAACAGAAATCCCGAAAGCCTGAAAGCCACTCCCCACACCAAAAAACGCCAAGTTTGGGCCAGCATTCATAGACATTTTCAATTTCAAAGTACTCGTACTGGGGGCACCACTTCATGGTGACGACGAACCGCCGATGAAACCGACGGATCCGATGAAACCTCTATGAAACCCCGGCGACGACGCAGAACAGACGCCAGACAGTTGGATTTCACACACAGGCCCACTCGAGAGTGGCTCGATGAGGAGGCTGGCTCCTTTTTTCGGCTGCTGCTGTTGCCAAGATCTTTTGGTGATATCCAACAAATATTGTAAGTAGAATGGCCAGCAAAATAACCAAAAACAAAGCAAACAAACCCCAGAGAGAGGAGAGAAAAACCTAAGCCAAACGGAACGGAACGCTGACGATGTAGACGCCGCAGCTGGCGCGATTGAATGACTCCTCGTCGTCATCCGTTGTCGGTTGTCTGAGATACTGACTGGCCATGTGACTATGTGACTGGCTGCGGCGAGCTGGATCGGGAAAAACGGCACTCGCAGAAATAGTCCCTGAATTCGGTAATAAAAATAAATAGATCCTATAAAAGAAATTTTGGAAAGACTATCACAAGTCCTTATACACAACCACTTGGCTTTTACCTTTTATGCAGAAAATGTATCTTAGCATATAAAAAAAAATATTTTTATTATAAAGAAGAGTACCTTATAAAACCTAGTAACTTATACAAGAAGAGCTGTCACCAAGGACATTAACTATGTAGATTGACAATGATGATACAAAAATCATATTTTAATAACATTAAAAAAATTAATACTACATGAAATATATCTAACGATTATTTAGGTACATTTAAAAAAGTACCTACTGTACTAAAAATCTGGTAAATAAAATAATATTTTAAAATATTAAATATCTCGAAATATTAACCATTCTTACAAGAGCTTTTCCCTTCCTAGGTTTCCTAATTTTAGAGATAGTATTTTAAGATACAAATAGATAAAGATAGGATGCATTTTTCCTGTGTACAATGAGGCTGCAGATGGAGACTTGGGACTGGACGAGGACGACACACTTACAGGCGACGACGTTGGCCAACAGCAGCATTCTCAGAAATATTGGTGTAGGTCACAGTCGCAGATAACATACAGTATTGGGGGAACTGGCGGGGGAGGGTGTGTGCCGCAGTCCTGGCCTCATTGTATGCAAATGTGCCACGATCACCACCCGCCCAGGCCGATTCGATGATCCTCCCATCCCCCCACCGATCCTCCCCAAATCCCAGTCCAAATCCATCGGCCACCACTGCTCTTCATGGGTGCCAGAATCGTTTTGTGTGCAAGTTACTCGAATTCGCATTCGCGTTTTCTGTTTCTTTATTTTTTCCCCCCTTTTTTTACGATTTTTTTGAGTTGTGCGATTTTTGGCATTTTTGCATTTCCTTTGTTTTTGTCCTAGCCCAGAGATGCTTATGTAAGCGACCATCGAGGAGACGACGACTCCTGGCCGAGGCTGCAGGAGCACGAGGACTGTTACATATTTCCCCTCAGCCTTTAATATTAGCCCAAAGGCCAAATCACATAAAACTGGGTATGCTGGTTAAGTGAATGCTCTATACTTACTCAAAAATAGATAACTATTTTAAATATTACTATATATGTTTAAATAAACTAATAAGTCTGGATTCATGGTATCAACCTTCTTATGATTTCATAAATTATATATACAACATATATCTATTAATTTTTATACTCTACATATGTACATACGGTTTTCCCTGCCCCAATTTTCTTAAGTTAATTTATATTAAAATTAAGAACCTATGGTAATAAATAAATTAGATGAAGATATTTATATCTTATAGATTTTCATAGAATCGTAGTTTATTTGTTTATTCGAAAAGTTTTTGATTAACCCCTTTAATATTATTTAACATTTAAAATATTTATTTATTATAAAGTTATTGTAAAGCTTTAATCAGGGTTTTTAAATACTTCATGAAGCTATCTAATACTCAGCTTATAATTACTTTGAAATGCCAAGCAATGGATCTGTTTTTTAGCCAATGGACTCAGTTTGAAAGTGCATTTCAAAAGGTAAACAACGCAAAGAAATTTATAAATAAACGTCGACGACAATGGGAATGCTGGGCGCACAAAACCAAACATTTCAACAGGAACAACATGTAATTTTTGTACCGTCTGAACTCCTCCCGCTCCTCCAACTCCTCCAGATCCCCAGCTCCTGCTCCTCTTAAAGCCTCCCACAATCCTGGCCATATGCAATGCCTTGGCCGGGGTCACGACACTTTTTGTGGCAGCAGCCACAGTCGCAGCAGCAACATAAACAGTCGCAGGAGCCCAGAGACCGAGTCAAATAGTGGGAGAAGTATGGCAGAAAGTCCCTCCCGAAGGCCCCGGGCTTTTCAGCTTATTGTCTTGGCCAAAGCAGTTGGCCCCGCTGGATGGCTTGGACATTTCGAAGACCCTGCAACTGAACCCGAACCCAAGCTGAAGCCAAAAAGCCAAACCAAAAAGCCAAGTCAAAACCCGAGGCGACTGCCTGGCGTCAAGAGAATGCGTCGAGCTTGTTGCCTTTTGGCTTTGATTTCGCATTGTGGAACTTTTCCTAGGAAAAAAATGTTACATGAAATTAATAAATAGGCAAATAAATGTTAAACAGCTGCTGTTTTGTACGTGTTCTGTTGCACGCGCACGGTAGCCATTGTGCTGCACACAGGGTGGTGCCTCTTGGCCAGAGTGGTGCTGGTGGTGCTATACTGGCCATGGTGGTGCTGCTGATTCTGGTGGCGATGATGCTGCCCCAAGTATTTGCATAACACCACGGCGAGCCAAGGATTCCCGAAACCCAAGCCGAAACCAAAGACGAAGCTTAGCCCATTTTGCCATGGATCTTCCCAGGCCCTAACCATTTACTTCCTGCAACTTGCAACCACCTACTAAGCAGGCCCTCGGGGAGCTGGATTTCTGGATCTCTGCCACTGCATGCCAAATCATTTTTATGCACTTCACAGCAATTGCCAGTGGAACTAATGCCCCAGCTCTTAAAAGCCAAATATATTCCGCTCCGCCCTCACCAAGAGCAATGCTTGAATATCGTAACTAAAGAAAACCAATAGCCAACGAGAGAGTTGACCATTAGGATGACCTACAAGGAAAACGGAGGGGCATATGGATGGTATTATATGTTATTATAAACATGAAAAATATTAAAAATAATTTAGTAATATTTTATTTAGAAAAATAAATGAATTCCTTTGTATAACTAACTACAAGTTTATTTTAAGCTTCCTTTAAATCTATATAGTGATGTTCTACTACTTAGAATTATTTTATAAAATAAAATAGCGTTAAAAATTAAATATTTCGTTTAAAAATTAATTATACGTTTACTCTACATGTTTTAAAGTTTTTTCTTAAAATAGGTATTCAATTATTTTTATACAATATCATTGATATGGAATACTTATTAAAAGGAATACATATATCCTTTTATAAACTTTATATTATCGTTTCCTAATAAAAACTCATCAGAACATTTGTTAACTCTACTAAGCTTACATTTTCCATGCGACTAAAATCCCACCCCAAACTCCGTATAATATTTCAATCCACTTGGATTAAGCCTCGCACTACACACACTTTCCATCGTTTGAATTTCAAATGTTAAGAGGCGGCTTTTGG